TTTGTAACTCTCAGAAGGATGACCCAAAACTCCAAGGTTTCTTACCTGTAAATAAAACCTAGTTTTCCCTTGAAGTCTCTGCTTGCTTAAAAACAAAACAAAACAAAAAAACTGTTAATGGAGGTTACATTTCCCCATTTCTTGGCCGACAGGTAATAAGGTCTCTATTTCTGTTGCCAACTTGAAGCATAGTTCTAAAAGACACTGCTGAAGCACATGCCATCTACTTATATTTTTACCTCCACTAGCACTAGAGGACTTCCAATTCTACATATGTGGATTCCTTAAAATTCTGTTCCTAAAGGTCAGCTGAGCATGGTGGGAAGAGGCTTTGGAGTCAAATCTGGATTTGAAATTATTCTGCTGCTTGCTAAGTATGCTCTAAGGCAAATTATTGACCTCAGAACCTGTTTCCTCATCTATAAATATAATAGTACATCCTTGCAAAGTGGAGGTGCTGTTTAAATGAGTCAGTGTGTGCAAACTGTCTGGCATTGGGTGGATGATGCTCTGTAAATACAGTGTTCCTCTTTCCTGTCTTTCTCTTAGAGTGCCATTTTGCACTTGTAACTGCTTCACTTTCAAGGACTAATGCCAATCCCTCTGACCACCTTTATATTTTCAGCTCCCACTGTCCCTGACCTGCCCTCAAAACCTGTTTTTCCTCTCCACTCATATCATTTCCCCTATTTTCTTGTCTTCATTTTCTTTTCCAATACAAGCCAGTCTGACTTACAATTCCCAAAGTCATGCAACCATTTGTTTTTCCTCCTTGTATGCTCCTTAAGATGGGTGTAAGTGCCCCTTCCTTTAATCCAGCTCCCATGCCTGCCTTTCTGCTGCAAAGGAACTATCTCGAATCCAAGTCTAACCACATCACACCAATCTAAGCCCGTTACTACCACAGCCTGCTGCCAGAAAGAAGTTTAGTTCTTGCCACAGAACTTTGTTATCTTCCTTTTTCACCTCAAAATTGTTTTGTAATGTCACCTGCTTCCTCTTTCTCTTCTGTCTAATGGGTGTATTTTTAAAATGAGATGTAATTTACATACAGTAAAATGCCCAAATCTTAAATCTACAGCTTGTTAAAAATTAACTATGTATCCACCAAAATAAGCTGCAGAATACTCAGGATTGGGGATGTAGTCCAGTTGTATAGTTCTTGCCTAGCACATGCAAGTCCCTGTGTTCAATTCCTAGTACACCAAAAAAAAAAAAAAGATGCAAAATATTCTTACCACTCTGGAAAATTCCCCTTTGTGTCTTTGCAGTTGATAGCCCCTTTAGAGCTGATGACTATTCTGAATTCTTTCACCATAGTTTTACCTGTTCTTGAAATCTGCCTCTATGGGTAAGGGGAAGATTTTATAAATTGTTTTCCTGATTAAGATTTAATTATTTTTCATGGTAAGAAAATTTAGAAGCTGGGCACAGTGGCTCATGCATGTCTGAAATCCCAGCAACTGAGAGGCTGAGGCAGAGGGATCACAAATTCAAGGCCAGTCTTGCAATTTAGTGAGGCTTTAAGCAATTTAGAAAGAATTTGTCTTAATTCTTTCTAAATTAAGAAAAATGTGGCTCAGTGGTTATGTGACTCTGAGTTCAATCCCTGATACAAAAATAAATTATAAAAATTTAGGAAGTGTAAAGAATCAAAAAAGACAACAAAGATGATTTTGTAATAATAGGTGGCAGAGAGACATGAGTGGTAGGAATATGAAGTTGGGTGTTGGTTTTGTGAACCAGGCCTACTGTGCCTCGTATAAAGCTTTCTTTTAAAGGGCAATTTGCCTGAGGCTGCTCTGGCCCTGCCTGGCTCCAATCTATGGGATTCTGGATTCTCCTATTAGGAGAAATGCAGGCCCGAAGACTCTTCCCTGAAGATAGAAAGAGCAAGGGTTGCCCTGAAGGGGAACTTTTATTACTTTACACAGATCAGATTCCAAGACTAGGGAAGACAGGATAATTAGAAACAAAGTCCCCAACCATAAAATATGTAAAAACTAGTTACAATTAGGACTGGTCAGTGCAGACCAAAGTGACCCAGAGTTGCCTTGGATCTTTAGCATTCCATTATAATAGGAAAATATTTCCTTCATGGAGTAAGACCATGAGCAGATGGAACTTGATTTGAGGCAATCCAACTATCAGTCAAACATCATCAAGAAGTGGGCCTGTGGAGGAGTCTAGACATTTCCCTGTAACCCCCAATAAAACAGGGCTGGAGGAACATACTGTTACTCTCCTGAGAGGATCCACTCTCTCCCTTTCTCCTTTAAGAGTGTTCCTTTTTCCCTTTTCCAATTCCATCTAATAAACCCATGCCTTCTACTCTAAGTGACTCATTTGAAATCCTTCCAAAGAACTGGTGACTGAGAACCTCTGTGGATAGCCTTTCTCTGCAATCATACCACACTGTCCCGAGATGTCCAGTATTAATATTCTAATGTATATCTTCCTGGACTTTTCATTGCACATAAAAACTTTTTTTCTATAGAAACAAGTACTGTATTATTTCAGTTGCACACATTTTTTGGTGTGTGTGGCATACTAGGGAGAAAACTACTACAGAGCTACATCCCCTGCCTCTTTTTATTTTAATATTTTAATTTTACTTTTTTTGGTACTGAGGATTGAACCCAGGGGTGCTTAACTTACTGAGCCACTTCCCAGCCCTTTTTTATTTTTATGTTGAGTCAGGGTTTCACTGAGTTGTTTAGGGCCTTGCTAAATTGCTAAGACTGGCTTTGAACTTGTGATCCTTTTGCCTCTGGCCTCCACCACAGCTGGCATGAAGCTTATTTTCTCAGGAGGGAAAAAAAAAGAATCCAGAGGCTGGAGGCTGGCCTAGCATACATGAGGTCCTGGATTTGATCCTCAGCCCTACTGAGGGTAAAAATCCTGGAAGTGAAATTTCTGAGTCAAGAGAGAGAGAAAAATTTTTACTCTTTAAAAAATGTTTGTGTTATCTCCAAATTGTAATCCATAAAAGTTATTTATATTTCTACCTGCAGTGTATAAATGTGTGCTTAGTCTCCCATCTGTCTCCATCATCTCCAGAACCTTTACTAACTATTCTCTTTTGAATAAGCAGCTATCTGATACAGAATAAATGTCCCCTTGTGCGCTAATCCACAAATCAAAGATCAAATTATGTGAACTAAAGTTAAGGAATTCACACTTTGTTCTGAGGGCCAGTGAAGCGCATTAAGCATGATAGAGCATCAGATTTGGGTTGAGGCCACGTGTGGTGGTACTTGCTTATAATCCCAGCAACTCAAAAAGCTGAGACAAGAGAATTGCAAGTTGGAGGCCAGCCTCAGCAACCTAGTGAGAACCTGTCTTGAAATAAAAAAATAGGATTGGTGGCACATCTCTGTAATCCCAGTGACTCAGGAGGCTGAAGCAGGAGGATCACAAATTCAAGACCAGCCTTAGCAATTTAGTGAGACCTTGTGTCAAAATTAAGACTAGGGAAGATAGGATAATTATAAAGAACTGGAGATGTGGCTCAGTGGTTAAAACTCCACTGGGTTCAATATCCAGTACTAAAAAAAATGAAGAAATAAATAAAAAATAAGAAGGTATGTTGAGATATAGCTCAGTGTCAGAGTGCTCATGTGTTCAATCTTCTACAGTACAACAAGGAGAGAGGGGGAGAGAGATTAATGGAGGCACACACATCAGGTTTGAGCTGGATATAATCAGAATCCCCTGATTGTTCCTAGACACACTGTGCACTTTCTTGCCTATAGCTGGATAACTATTCTCTTTGATCTCTTGATATCAAGAGAAACAACCTAGGCCTGAGGATATGGCTCCGTTGGTAGAGTGCTTGCCTTGCATGTACAAGGCCCTGGGTTTGATCCCCAGCACCACAAAAAACAAACAAAAAGAAAAGATATGCTGTCAATCTCTCCAACTCCTCTAATTGCCAACAAGGGAAGTGCCTAGACCACATGACCCTGGTATTTCCAGAATCATATTTATAAAACTGGCTTAAGCCAAACATGGTGGCAAGTGCCTATAATCCCAGTGACTGGGGAAGCTGAAGCAAACTCAAGGCCAGCCTCAGCAACTTGGTGAAAACTTGTCTCAAACTAAAAAATAAAAAGGGCTGGGGAGGTAGCTCAGTGGTTAAGCACTCCTGGGTTCAATCCCCAGTACCTTCCCCCTCCAAAATACCTGGTTTAACTTTGGATTCAGTGTAACTCAGATACTAGCAAAAAAGAATATTATGAATCATAATTAGCATGGTATGCTAATACGAACACAAACTCTGCACATACTTGGATTAACACCTACAACTGTTACTTTTGGTCCCTATATCAGAGGTTTTTATTTGTAAGTGACAGGCAAGAAAGCTAATTTAAGGGGGGAAAATTGTTGGAAGAGTTGGGTGGGTTCCAGAATTTAAAACCAGAGCTCAAAAAGCATAGGTTGAGCCTAGTTGTGGGACAGAGGAACAAATAAAGGACAATATTGTCAGAATCCACCTTTGGGATGAAGAAGCATAACCAGTAAGCAGGTGAACTCCATAGGATGAGGCAGAGCCTTGTAAAAAAAAAAATGCAGAAAATATACAGAAGAAAATAATCATTGCTCACATTTCCACCATCCAAAATGATTAACATTAATACTTAGGTATATCTATTGGGCTTTTTTCTGTGGATACATTTTGGATAAAAAGTCAGGGAAGCCAGATGAGGTTGCAAATGCCTGTAATTCCAGCGGCTCTAGAGGCTAAGGCAGGAGAACCGCAAGTTTAGCAAGTTTAAAGGCAGCCTCAGCAACAGCAGGGCGCCAAGCAACTCAGTGAGATCCTGTCTCTAAACAAAGTACAAAATATGGGGCTGGGGTTGTGGTTCAGTGGTAGAACACTTGCCTAGCATGAGTGAGGCACTGGGTTTGATCCCCAGCACCACATAAAAACAAATAAAGGTATTGCGTCCACCTACAACTAAAAAAAAAAATTTAAATACAAAATAGAGCTGGGGATGTGGCTCAGTGGTCGAGTGCCCCTGAGTTCAATCCCCAGTACCAAAAAAAAAAAAAAAAAGTCACAGAAAATGTTTATACATATGCTAAAATACATCTACTATACTCAGGAGATTTGGCTAACTTGAGATGAGCTGGACTCCGATGCTGGCCTCGAAGGCAGACCTGGCATTGTGAGTCCTCTGTTGCTCTGAGCCTCTTTCCCAGAGGCCCTTTTCAATAGAAACAGCACAAAAGACAGGGACTTGTCCCAGCTTGTCAGAACTACAGAGGACAGTGAACAAGGAGTTATCATTATACCAAAAATAAAAATAAAATAATAATAATAAAAAAGGACAGATCACACCCTATCTCACTAACCTGGGCCACTAGAAAAGAAAGAGTGGGGCCTGTGTCAAGTCACCAGGACTGGGGTCAACCTCTACATACTTTCTCCCCCAGCAGCCACCCACTTGTTTGCTTATTCAGTCATCTATTCAGAAAATACTGATGCCTATGATGTTCTTGCCCTTTTCTAGGGTCTGGGAACATGTGCATGTGACGACCCTCAGTCTAGTGAAGCAGAGAGATGGGGAACAGCAGGAGCGATTGTGACAGATGATACACGAAGAACCCTCTGACAGCTTGTGGAAGCCCCAGTGGAAGCCAGCAGGCTGGAAGCGAGGGCTCAGGTTGGACTTGGACGGTGCCTTTGGTCTGGGCTGTGGAAAAGGAACCTGCTTGCTGGGGGAGGGAGAGGGCAGAACATCTGAGACAATGGGCTGAAGTGTGTGGCATGGGGGTGGGGCACACACATCTGGGTCTGAAACCCAACTCTTGGTTTTGTGGCCTTGAACAAGTCATCCTTCCTCTCTGAGCCTATTTCCTGTGGGTACTAAGAAGGAAGGTGAGTTTCACAGTCAAGAAAACAGGATCCTATGAGAGATAATGAGGCAGCACTGTAGTCACTCATAGATATGAGTGGTCTTCAAGCAGAGGAAAGAGCACAGGGGCTGGGCGGGGGCCGCAGGTGGGCTGGGGAAAACCTAAGCATCTGGTGGGAAGGAGGAAGGAGAGGTAGGAGTGGACAAAGAGTGGACAAAGGAGGCTGGTCCTCCCACAGCCTCTATCTTTTCCCTCAAAGAAAGTGGAGCAGACAGAGGGGAGAGGAAGGAACAAACAAGGAAATCTATTTCCTTGACATCCTTTACTTTCCTCTGAAATGACAAAGGTTTACATTTGGGGCTGACTTTAATCTCTCCATTCAAAAAAAGAAAAAGTAAAAACTAACAAAGTTTCTGTTTCAGCTGATCTCCTCAAAACCCCTCCAGGGTACAGGGGCTTTCACATCCTCCTATGGTGGGAAGCTGTAGGTGGCTGGTTGGGGAGGGCACACCTGAAGTCTGGAGAAGGTGAGGAGAACTGACTCAAGCAAGCGATCTCAGAGGTTCTGAGGCCAACCAAACCCAGTGGCCTCTCTGTTCACGCTTTCAAAAGTGGATTCTTGGGCAGGGTAAGTAGCTCAGGGGTAGAGCACTAGCAAGGATGCAGGCCCAGGATTCTATTCCCACCACTACAGAGGGGGATGGAGAGAGAGAGAGGAGTGGGGACTGAAAAGCTGAGCTGATTTTTCCATTATGAAGCTGGGCTTAAACCCAGGCTTTTCTGAGTCTCAATCCTCCCAAAGGAAACTCAAAATTATTTATCTACCCAGGATATTTAGGAGCAAATGAAAACATTATGGTTTATAAGGCCCCTAGGACCTGATTCACCCTTGAAAACTTCACTATATTCCCACTCAAGTGCATCCTTGCCTCTGGGCCTTTGCACATTCTGTTCCTTCTCTTTGGAGGGCTCTTGTCCTTACTGACTCTTTTCATCATTTAGGTCTTACTAATTTCAATGTCACCTCCTCTGAGAGGTCACCCCTGTGTCAGGATGCCCCTGCCCTAGGTCCTCTGACTCACCACTTTTTCCTCATGGCCCTTATTTGTTTATTGGTGCTGGGGATTGGACCCTGGGCCTTGTACATGCTAGGCCAGCACTCTACTACTGAGCCACATCCCCAGCCCCCTTATTATAATTTGAAATGGTTGTTTATTTGTAGATATTCACCTCTCCTATGAATGCCGAAATCAGGAACTTTTTCAGGTTCACTATGGGATTCCTGATATCCTGATGTCTAGAACAGAGTGCCTGGGTTGGCTCAGGGCAGAAGCCTCAGTCAGTTTTGCTCAATGAATTTATTTGGCACAGATGACCTGCCAAGCACCATACTAGGCCCTGTGGAGACAGTGACAATTAAATAGCCCTTATAGAGTGTCTAGGTTTTTATATCCTCCTCAGGATTGATTTCCTGTCAATTAACAAGCAGAACTCAAAGGACACAAAGGCCAAAAGTGATGAGAAAGTATTCAACTCTCCACCCCTCTGAAGGCCGCAGTGCTAAGTGTATGTTAGTTTTATAAAAAAACTACCAGACCATATTCTAGAGTGACTTTATATTCCCATAAATAATATATGAAATCCAGTTTCTCTACATTCTCACTTGAATTGACTTTTTTTTTTTTTTTTGGTAATACCAGGGATTGAACCCAGAGGTCCTCTAACACTGAGCTACATCCCCAGTTCCCCCTGCCTTTTTTTTTAAGAGACATGGTCTTGCTAAATTGCTGAGGCTGGCCTGGAAATTTTGATCCTCCTGTCTCAGCCTCCCAAATAGGTGGGATTACAGGTGTTCACCACCACACCTGGTTTACAGTCAATATTTTTAGTTGTTATTAATAGGTATGTAATATCTCATTGTGGTTTAATTTGCATTTTCCTAGTGACTAACAGTGTCAAACATCTTTTCATAAGCATGTGAATATCCCCTTTGATAAGATTCATGTTGATGTTTTGTTTTGGGTTTTGAGAGTTCTCTATATATATGAGATACAAGTCCTTTGTCAGATATATATTTTGCAAATTAAAAGTTTTTAATTTTGATGAAGTTAATTTTTTTCTTTTATGGATCATTTTTGATATTGTATCTAAGAATTATTCATTTAGCTCCAGGCAGGTCCTGAAAATTTTTACCTGTTATTTAATTCTATTTTGTGTTAATTTCTGTACAAATTATGAGATTTTTGGAAAAGACTATCCATCAGATGATTAAAAATCAGTTGTGGGCTGGGGTTGTGGCTAAGTGGTAGAGCGCTTGCCTAGCATGTGTGAGGCCCTGGGTTCGATCCTTAGCACTACATAAAAATAAACAAATAAAGGTGTGTGTCCCTCTACAACTAAATTTTTTTTTTTTTAAAGAAAGAGAGAGAGAGAGATAGAATTTTTTAAAAAATATTTATTGTTTAGTTTTTGGCGGACACAACATCTTTGTTTGTATGTGGTGCTGAGGATCAACACATGCCAGGCGAGCGCGCTACCGATTGAGCCACATCCCCAGCCCACAACCAAAAAAAATTAAGAAAAAAAATCAGTTGTACTTGCATAGGTGGAGTATGTTAGTTTTATAAGAAACTACCAGGCCACATTCCACATTCTGGGCTCTTTATTCTGTTCCTTTGGTTTCTTTGTCTTTCCCATCTTTAATACATTGTCTTGATTTATTTAGCTATACACTAAGTCTATTTTTCTTTTTCTTTTTGTGCCAGGGATTGAACTCAGGAACACTTCACCACTGAGGCTGGCTTTGAACTTGCAATCCTCCTGATTCCCTGGAATTTTGATAGAAATTACAGATCAATTTGGGAAGAAATGATCTCTTTACTATATTTGTTATTAATAGGTATAATACCTCATTGAGGTTTAATTTGCATTTTCCTATTCCAATCCAAGAACATGTGGTTTACACTTTAGTTCTGACTTCTTTCATCAGTATTTTGAAGATTTCAGCATACAAATCTTGTATATTTTGCTAGATTCATACCTATGTATTTTATTTTTCTTTTGATTAGAAATGGTGGGGTGTTTTCGCATTCAATTTCCACATTTTCATTGCAAGCCATAGAAACACATTTTTTTTGGTACCAGGGATTGAACTCAGGGGGACTGGACCACTGAGCCACATCCCTAGCCCTATTTTGTATTTTATTTAGAGACAGGGTCTCACTGAGCTGTTCAGCACCTTGCCATTGCTGAAGCTGGCTTTAAAGTCATGATCCTCTGGTTTCAGCCTCCTGAGCTGCTGGGATTACAGGCGTGCCTGGATGAAACACATTTTTTGTTTTATTTGAGACATTGTTTTGATGTTTTCCCAGGCTCCCAAGAGATCCTCCTGCCTCAGCTTCCAGAGTAGCTGGGACTTCAGGTGCATGCCACCAGGATCGGTTCACTTAATTTTGTGTTGATCTTATATATTTTGATCTGCTGAATTTAGTTTTGATGGTTTTCTGAAAGATTCTTAATTTTCTACAGACTTCCATGTCAGCTGCCAACTGGGACAATTTTATTTCTTCCTTTCCAATCTGTATGACTAACTTTATTTCCTTTTTTAAAAAATATCTTTATTTTATTTATTTATTTTTATGTGGTGCTGAGGATCAAACCCAGGGCTCGAACATGCTAGGCGAGTGCTTTGCCACTGAGCCACAACCTCAGCCCACTTTATTTCCTTTTTCTTGCTGAATTACATTGGCTGGGACTTTCAGTATGGTGTCGAATAGGACAAGTGAGATGGGCTTCCTTGCCTTGTCCTAATAAGAGCGGAATGTTTTACTATTAAGCATGAAGTAAGTTGCAGAGACTTTTGTTGATGTCCTTTAGGATGATGAGGATGTTACACTCTTCCGGTCAGCTGAGTTTTTATCATGGATAAATAAAAAATTCCTTATTTATCATTTGATTTGATCCTGTGATTTTTTTTTTCTTTAGGTTTTCTGAAATAGTGAAAAAAGCTTAGAGACTCCTCCTACTTTACAATTTTCTCAGACTTCTAGGGTCCTGGTAACTTAGTTGCTACTACTGGTCTAACCTGCTAAGTCCCAGAGTGCTCCAGGGAATGTAATTCGAGCCCTACTCATGACCAAACACACCAATATAGGAAATGTGGACCCTAGCATCCACTCTTGGAGATTTAGAGTCATACTGGTTCAGAGAAACCCTGATACTCTTTTACTGCCTTCAACATGGAATTGACCAAGCTTATCTGACCAGAGGCGCCTTACGTATTTTTCTGCTTTTATTATACATAAACCATTATTGCTACCACTGGACTTTTTCTAAAACATACTTAGGTAACAACTCAAATGATCTTGTCCCCTAACTTGCAGGTAATCTAAGCAGCTCTGACTAAGGCTCCAGTTAGTAGCATCAGACATAAGATCTCAGCCTACTGCTCCTCTAAACCATGTTGGATCATGTTGTTAGACATGCTAATAAATCAGCCACCATTCCTGCAGCACCAGACATCATTCTGGATAAGAGGAAGGTAAATTCATTGCCTATCAGGCACTTGAGGTGTCTCGGGCACTTCCTCCCCACTGAGCCTAGGTTTGAGGAGTAAAATTTCCTGTGGCTTCACTGGGGCCTGTGAATGGGCAGCATGTAACAGTTCTATCAATCTCGCCATTACGGCTCCCTCTCACAGTGAATGGGTCAGGTTTGGGAACACATCCAAAACTGGTCTAAAAGGACTTGAGTCCAGAAATTCTGTGGGAACTTGATGATGCCCATGTCGGAAGATGAAAGAGACCTTTTCCCCTCAGGACAGGCCTGAGCAGCTGTAACAGAAGACCCATCTTCGAATTCATTTATATTTTATTTGTTGTGGTGCTGGGGATCAAATGCAGGGCATGGCACAGGCTAGTCAAGCACTCTACAACTGCTGTCTAACCCTAGCCCACTACCTCAGAATTTTAAGTTGGAGCCACTAACGAGAATTTTCCCCTACCCCGCTCAAATTAGGTAGAAGGAATCCTGTCACTTGCCAACAGAATCTCACCTAATTCACATTTGAGACAGGTGCCCAGGAAAAGTAATCACTAAATTGACTTGGCAGGCCACTCTTGATGAGGTGCTGCTGACTACCCTAAAGTTCCACAGCAGAAAACAACCTGTTCTACACCCCCAGATCATCTTTGTCCCCCGCATCCACGCCCTCAGCTTGACATCATCCGCCACTTCTCACCAAAGAACACAGGCAGCCAAAGGCAGCTTGGTCGATACTTGGTATACATCATACATTTATTAGTGAATATCCCTCTGAAATCAGCAACAATATTAAAAAAAATAATGATTGCACTACTTGGTCAAGCAGAACTAGCAACTTTCATTTTAAAAAAAGTACAAATCTGTTAAAAATTTCAATCAGTATACACATATATATAATACAACATACTAGTTATGTTAAATGCTACAAACCAATGTGAATCCAATGGAATGGAAAAAACCACACATTTAAGCTTTAAGAACCATTTTTTTTCTCTATATATTAGCATTTTCTCAAATACATACATGGGAAAAATGAGGTAACTGTAAAATGTGCAAGGAACAGGGCCCCCCAAATTACATATATTTATATATATATGTTACTATATATATAAAACCTTTCTAACACAGAACACAGGCGCTGGGCCCAGCCAGGGCTGGGGGAAGGTGCCCACTGTCATGCCTAGGCCAGAAGTTGGTAAATAAAAGAGTAAACAATGACAAGCCCCCACCACAGGAAATCATTGGTAACATGGCATCTATAGCAAGGTCGGCAAATCACAAACATCCTAAATAATTGTTTCATAAATCTTTTTTTATGATGATTTAAAAAAAAATGTTGTTTCCCCCCCAGTAGCTGCTGTTGGAATCATTGCTGCAGCCAACACACAATCCGTGAGCCTGTTTCCGCCTGCCCCAGGAATGGTAAGGGTTTGGAAACCTTTTGTTGGGGTGGGAAGGGAGGGGGGTTTTGGAAAGGGTGGTTCTTTGTGTAAAACACGTGGGTTTTTCAACACTGCTATAAATATAGAAACGTCACCTGGAGTTATATACAGTAAGACTTTGGGTTCTCCATGGGGGTAGGACCAGGCTGACGGGTCCCGTGGCAGGCTGGGGCAGGTGGGAGGCAGGGAGCCAGGGCAGCTGCGGGGAGAACGAGGGTGGTTGGAGCATCCCTGAGGCAGCAGGCGCCAAGGGCTGCCTGCTAGGATGTGCCGGCCCCACACGCAGTTCGTTCAGGGCAGCAACCCCAGCTGAGGGTAAGAGAGGAAAGAACAGGATCAGAGAAGGAGGGTGGGGAGCTCAGCCAGACCCTACAGGGGCCTCCTCCAGACCTTGGAGGGCAGGGATCAGGCTGGGAGGGGTCCCCTGGAGGTGGAGGTCCACACCCTCCCTGGTCCCCATCCTCCTGGGATTCCTTGAAGGAGACTCACCCAGGCAGGTGGGAGACGGGCCCTGGCTGGAGAGGGAGAAATGCCCTGAAAAGCGTACGGTCCCAGTAGGCTCTAGGGACGTGTGCAGTACAGTGCATGGCAGTTATCAGCTGAGCACAGACCCCCCCCCAACCCTGCCCCATGACTGCCAGCCGCCCAGCCCAGCCCCAGCCGCACACATGCATGCAGGCTAGGCGGCACCACTCGACCCTTCTCTGCCCCCTGGGCATTAGGTCCTGGTTGGTCCCCATACCCCACCCCCGACCATTAAACCAAAAGGAAAAAAAATGTCTTAAATATCCACACCCCCAAATCCTACACGCATTTTTGGGCCAAATGAATAAACAAAAACTGCTGCTCCTCACATTCATGCAAAACAACAGGGGAGAAGATTGGGCATGGATCAGACCCCGTAGCTGGTGGAGGGGCAGCCACCAGGAGCACAGGGACCCTGCCCAGTGTGGCCCAGGTCCTCTCAGGATATATGTGTCCCAACTTGGGCCTGTCTCCCATTTGCTCAGGAGGGCTGTCTGGGCTGTCCTCCAGCCTGGAGATGGGGCTGGAATATCACTGCGCCTGTGGCGAGGGTCCTTGAGACACACAGATACACCCTGCAGAGCAACCTGTGCAGAGCTGGCTGCCCAAGTCAAGCAGGGGGACTCAGTTCCAGGTCCTAGGAAATAGTCTCACACCACCGTCTGTCCACATGCCTGGCAGTGCCCCTGGGCAGAGAGCACACCACTCAGCGCAAGAGACAAGATGACCCAGGACGGCGAGCCCGTTGCCCATCCTGGGGCCAAGGATCTCTACCAGCCGTAAGAGGGGAGCAGACCCCTGGCTCTCAGTGCCAGCAGGAAAAAGAAGGACCCAAAGGTGAACAGAAGGGAGACTGAGCTGGGGATACCCAGGCAGCTCCTTGGCGGGCAGACAGGCAGGCAGATCGGGGAAGTAGTCTTTGGAGCTTGGCAAATGCAGGGGCTTATTGCAGGGGCTTCTCACAGGGAGGACCCTGGCACCAGCTCTGGAGATGCAGGTGGGAACGAAGGGGCAGGCCTGGGCCATTCCCTCCCCGTCCTCCCTGGGTCCCCCCGAGTTTCCAGAGCTTCGGGCAGGGTTCTCGTGGGCAGCTGTGGGGCTTCACTCAGCCTCCCTGGGCACCTCGGAGGCATCAGCTCGGCAAATGGGACATGTCCGGTTAGCCTAGGGGAGCAGCAGCAAGTCAGGATTTACTCTCACTTGTCCTCCGTCCCACCCCTTTATGTTCCGCTGCCTGGTGAGGACTTGGTCCCCGGAGCCAGAACTTCTGGATGATGGCAGGGACAAGAAGAGAAGTTCTCCAGGCTTGCCCTGCCCCTCACCATGGGAGGAATACCTGGGGCCACCGTACCTTCAACCACTTGTCGACACACTTGGTGTGGAACTCATGGTTGCAGGGGAGGACTCGGAGTAGCTGCCGCGCCTCAAAGTCACTGAAGCAGACCACACACCTGGAGAGGAGCACAGTGTCACTAAGCTGCACAATGATGGCTGAGGGAAGGCTCATCAGAGTATAACTCTCCTTGAAAGGACTCTCATTGCAGCCCAGTTGGTTCAGGGGCAAGAGATGGTGGCATGGCACTCACAGTGTCTGCTCTGACTGATGGCTGTCTGGGTTAAAGCGGTAAGATGGGAGCTGCTCTATGTCTGCTTTGGTGAGGCCTCTGGGCTTGGCATCTCCCAGCCGCTCGGCCAGGTTCAGAAGGGCCTAGATAAAGGCAGAAGGGGAGGGTCAATAGCACTCAGGGCTGGAGGTCTCCCAAACCCCACCTCCCAGCAATGGGAAGCCATGGAACCTCATAGTTCTCCATTTCCACATCATCCACATCCAGATCCAGGCTGATGGTGGGCCCCATCGCTGTTGGTGACATTGGCAGCATCGAGCTAGAAAAGGAAGGTATGGGGTCCCAAAGTCAAGGTTAACATGGGGTGGGGGCGGGAAAAGCATAGAACTGCTCCTCTAACTCTTCCATGAAAAGTCCACAGCTCTGCACAGTTTACAACAGGGACCCTGGTTCTTGTTCTAGGATGGGAACTCAACAAAGCGTTGTGTGGATGTGGCTTGCTGGGGATACTAGATGGCTTTGGAGGACGTAAGGTCTCCAGGACAATGGGGTATCACAGCTCTGGGGCAGACGTGCTGGTACTTACAGGAAGTAGGGCAGGAAGCTTGGGTAATAAGGTGGTGGTGGCGGTGGCGGTGGTGGTGGGGGCAGTGGCTGTTGCAGGCGGTATCTCTGGGTGCTCAGTCTTCGTGGCACCATGTGGGAATATGACTGCAAGAGGAGGGCCGGACATAGGTCAGCCTGCAGGCCTGCTTCCTGAATGCCCCAGAGCCCGGCTGGGAGGTGGGGCTGGCACTTACCATCCCAAAAGACAGCTCCTGGTGCAGTGGATCATGGGGCAGGTAGTGTAGGGGTACCGAGGGAGATAAGGCTGGGCCTGGGGCAGAGGTGGAATAAGTGAAGCCACCCAAGGGGTGCTGTTCCCCCCGAAGGTCCACATCATTATCAAGCCGCTGCAAGGGCTAGAAGTGGTAGGGGTGGTAAGTCATAGAAGTGATAAAAGAAATGCCCGACCCTCCCCTCCACTCTCCCCCTTTAGCACAGACCCAACCCCAAGACTCACATGCCCAACCCTCCCCTCTACTCTCCCCCTCGAGCACAGACACAACACCAAGACTCACCATACGGGGGTGCTGGGTCTGCAGTGATACAAACTGCCCAAGAGGCGCCATGTGGGTGGGCTGGGGTGGAGGGGCTGGCGGTGGCGGGTGCAGGATGTAGTGGTCACTGGAGATGAGGTGGGGGTAGGTCTGGTAGGGCACAGGGAGCTGTTGCATGGTGCACGCCTGGATCAGCTGCTGAGAGAGGGGTAAGGGGAGGGGGAAGCTGGAGAAGGTTCTGGGCTAGGCCTTAATTTGTGATGAGGGCCACAGGCTATTCCATCCAGCTAAAGATCCTCATTATAATACAAACCCAGTAGCCTCAGTGGATCTAGAAGTCCCATCTCTGTCTTAGGCTCCCAGGAGGACATAGTATTTTAAAGACCCACAGCCTTCACTCTAGCACCTCTGCCAATGTAAGACACTGGGTACAGGGAAGTCCCTGAACCTGAAACACTCTATCACTACATGTGAACATGCTTTGATACATCTTTACAGGACTATGGACTGGAACCCTGACAGCCTGGGGGAACACCGGAAGCTCAGCTCAGTTCAGGGGGAACACCGGAAGCTCAGCTCAGTTCGGGTTGCTGCGTAGCTGTCCTGGGGAAGATAGCTGCTTGAAACCGGGGCGAGGGTAGGAGAAGAAAGCACCCACTCACCGGGGGTGGGAGGCAGCAGAGGGGGTAGTGCTGCCCACTGAACATCACGGAGCATGCTGGGAGCTGCTGGGCACTGCAGCCAGGGATGTGTTGGCTTGTAGGCAAGGGGAAGCCTTGGGTGGTCACTGTGGTGACTGTGTAGGACAGAGGGACAGGTCCCTGGTGCACCTGTGAATAGAGAGAGAGCCAGGGAACTGTAGGGAGGCCCCACCACTCAGATTACCCTCAGGAGAAAAAGTCCTGCCAGGCTCAACTCCCAGGTTCCTGTCCCTTCTCAGCTAGGGACCTACCTAATTTCAGACCAGACTATTCCCTGGCCCAGGGACCCCAGGGAAGGACCTCTAGGAATTCAGGAAGGGTACCTATCTCTTTCAGTCATTCACTC